AAGAGAAGAGAAGAGAAGAGAAGAGAAGAGAAGAGAAGAGAAGAGAAGAGAAGAGAAGAGAAGAGAAGAGGAGAGGAGAAGAGAGTATAGAGCTTCCTCAAAAAAATAAAAATGGAACTGCCTTACGAGCCAGTGATTCCATTTCTGGGCATATATTCAGAGATCCCAAAGCACTTATTTGAAAGAATATATGCACCCCTATGTTCATTGCAACATTATTTACAATAGCCAAGAGATGGAAGCAACCCAAGTGCCCATCAAATAGACAAGTATATAAACAAGTGGTACATATATACAATGTAATATTACTCAACTATAAAAAAGAATGAAATCTTACCATTTGCATTACCAAATCTTACCATTTGGACCTAGAGAGCATTATGCTAAGTGGCATAAGTTAGAAGGAGGAGGACAAGTACCATGTGATTTCACTTATATGTGGAATCTAATCAACAAAATAAATGAACAAACAAAAAAACAGTCTCATAGATACAGAAGAAAAACTGAGAATCACTAGATCAAAGGGGGTTTTGGGGACTGGGTGAAAAAGATGAGGGGATTAAATACAAATTGGTAGTTACAAAATAGTCATGAGGATGTAAAGTACAGAATAAGGAATATAGTCAAAAATATTGTCATAACTATGTATGGTGCCAAGTGGGTACTGGAAATACCAGGATGATATGATTGTCTAACCACTATGCTGTACACCTAAAGCCAATACAAAATGATATTGAATGTAAACTGTAATTAAAAAGTAAAAAGAGAGCTCTGGCCAAGTAACTCAGTTAGTTTGGTGAGGATTAAAAAAATTAAAAATAAATAAATAAATAATAAATCACGCACCCTTTAGCTGTCACCACCCAATCACCCCATCTTTCTAAGCCCTTGGCAAACATTAGTCTATATTCTGTCTATAGATTTGTCTATTTTGGATGTTTCATATAAATGAAATGATATAATATGTTGTCTTTGAATATTACTTCTTTCACTTGGCATAATTTTTCAATATTCGTGTATGTTGTAGCCTGTATCACTACTTCATTTATTTTTATTGCTGAATCATATGCCATTGTATGTTCACATCATAATTTTTTATCCATTTATCAGTTAATGAACTTTTGAATTGTTTGCACTTCTTGGATTTCATGGTTATCTTTTTAATACTTGAGAAAGTGATCTTTATATACTCTAGATGTAAGTCTCTTATCAGATATATGGTTTGTAAATATTTTTTCCCGTTCTGTGGGTTGCCTTTTTACTTTTTTGATGTTGTCCTTTGTAGTACAAAAATTTTAATTTTAATGATCTCCGGTTTATTTATACTTTCTTTTTTCCTTTGTGCTTTTGTGTTATATCTAAGAAACCATTGCATAATACAAGGTCACTAAGATTCATACGTATCTTTTTTTCTAAGAGTGTTATACTTTTAGCTCTTACATTTACATCTTTGGTCCATTTCTGGTAATTTTTTATATGGCATGAGATAGGAGTCCAACTTTATTTTTTTTGCATGTGGATATACAGTTTTCCCAGCACCATTTGTTGAGAAGACTCTTCTTTCTCTACTGAAATTTCTTGGCAAGCTTATGAAAAAATCAGTTGACTATAAAAGTGAGAGTTTATTTCTGGACTCTTGTATTTCATTGTTCTATATGTATATATCTATATATATAAATGTCTGTATATGTAGAAATATAGATATAATATAGATATAGATGTCTTCTAATCTATGAACATGGATGTCTTTCCATTTGTTTAGGGTTATTTTTTTCATTTATTTAGGTCTGCTTTAATACACCATTATTTGATCATCTGAACAATGCTTTGTATTGTTCCAATGATAAGTTTTATACTATTCTGTTAAATTTATTCTTAAGTATTTTTCTTTTTTCTTTTTTTTTTTTTTTTTGCTATTGTAAATGGAATCTCTTTCTTAATTTTAATTTTGGTTTGCATATTGCTACTGAGTAGAAATAAAATTTATATTTTGTACATTGATCTTGTATCTTAAAACCTTTCTCAATTTATTAGTTGTGTTTTTCAGTGGATTAGTTAGGATTTTATAGATACAGATCATGGCATCTCTGATTAGATTTCATTTCACTTCTTCCTTTCCAATTGAGACACCTTTCATTTCATTTTCTTGCTTAGTAATTTTGACTAGAACCCCCAGTACAATGTTGAATAGAAATGGCAAAAGCAGACACATCCTTGTTTTGTTCCTGATCTTAGGGGAGAAGCTTTTAGTTTTTCACAATTAAATATGATGTTAACTGTGGGTTTTTCATAGATATTCTTTAGTAGATTGAAGTTCCTTTCCGTTCATGGATTGTTGAGTGTGTTATGATGAAGGGGTGTTAAATTTTGCCAAATCCTTTTTTCTGTGTCTCTTGAAATGAACATATGGTTTTGTCCTTTATTCTATTGAAGGGCTATATTGCATTAATTGACTTTTGAATGTCACGCCAACTCTGTA